TAAAACTGAACAGCATTTTGATTAAGAGGATAATATTTATTAATCAAGCCAATGAAGCCATGACCGTTATTGCTAGTGAAGCTAACTTCCCATGCTTCGAGAAAAGTTTTGCTTAATTCTATTTCTAAATTATTTCTGATTGATTATTAAACAAATAACGAGATAGGACACAGTGCACACTAAAGAAAAGAGTAAGTGTGTATAGACAAAGAAGAGACTGAAATATGAAGAAGAAGGAAAAAACGGTTTTGCTACTTAGAAGAAAACGGTGAAAATATAATGGCGATACTCATTTATGATATCCATAAAAATCCTAATTTGCATTCTAACCAAAACTAAAATACACATTTATAATTCAAATGTTCCCATATGAAAACTTTGAAATTTTTTATTGGTTCCCTTTGATCTCTAGTATTATCTATCCGACTCTAGCAAAAACCTTTAAAATCTTTGAGGATTATTACTTTATAAAATTATGCTGAACTACTACTGACTAAACATGTTAAATAACAGAAAAGAAGTATCAGGTTACCGAATAAGCTCGTATGAGAGACATTTAAGATGTCTCTGATGTTCATTTAAGAATATCCCAGACGACATACTATGATTTTGTATTCCGAAGACGCAAACCAAAATAAACTTTGACAACTTCACGCGTTGGAGAGATCAGGGCTGGGCAACTACGCTGACTTTCAGCTCCAACTCAACCCCAACTCAACTCCGTTTTCAAATTTCCAACTCCAACTCTAACTCCAACTCCCTCAATAAAAATCTCAACTCCAGTTCAACTCCGATTGCTTCATTTTTGTAAGGAAGATTTTTCGGTTTTATAGCAGGATTCTGGAAGTTTTTATCTTTTTCCGTCAGGAAAGCGCAAAAAACTTCCGAATTCATTCGTGAATACAGCCACTCAATCGTTTAGAAGATCAGTTTACAACTATTGAATATTTCCAAAACTGCAAAACGGAGTTGAGAATAAAAGATCAAAATCCAACTCCAGCCTACTAAAATCTCAACTCCAACTCCACTAAAAGGATCTTCAACTCCGGAGTTGGAGTTGCCCAGCCCTGAGAGAGATCTCACACTCAAATTTCCATGGCTCGGGAACTGATATGGCTTAATTCAGTGTTTAAATGTATAATAACTATTATACTGACTCTGCTGGAAAGCAATTTTTAATGATAAGATATTGATTACCTGACAATTCAAATTGCAATACCATTGCACAGATGGCACAGTTAACAAAAATAACACCGGAGATAAATCGCGCTTCACACCTTTTTAATCTTTCTCAGTGATTATCTTTAGACTCTAGTATTATAGATCAACTAAGAAAAGTAAATCTTTACGGCGCATTCTCTTATTTTAACTCCTCAATGCACACTTTACATTGACTTTTATGTTAAAAAAAAAGAAAAAGCAAGAAAGAGTGTACTTCAAAGTACAGGAAAATCTATTTTAGTACATGTCAACGTCAATGAAGAAATGTCAGGACTCTTCTTCATAAGAATTCCATACAGGGATTGTTGCAGAGTATTGTACGAGGGCCCTTTTACAAACAGGATTAAGTCTGACCGATGAAAACTGAAAAGATTATTGTGGAAATACTGAGCTAACAATTCCTTATGGGACTTCATCATAAGATTAATTTTATAATGAATGGTTTCGACGAGACAGACAGACAAAAGCTACTGAAAATTAGAAAGAAATAATGATAAAACCTTGAAATTAAATTAGCAGAAGATCTTCTTACTTTCTACTTATTTTCGTTCCAATCTCTTACTGCTTTTCCTTCATGTTTTCATTCACAGTCAATTGTTCAGGTATACACTCATTTTTCTACTTGCAACGCAGCTCACGTGCGTGATATGAGCAGAATATAAATGAAATAGTTTATATCCTCGAAAATGAGTACTTTTCCAAAACCATAAGTGTGACTTAATAAAAAAAATGAGGCGGTTTTTTAATTATAAAAGAGAAAAGAACATTATTTCAAGTGTAATGTATTAATACAACAAGAGGGACAGTATAAATAACATAACATCCGGAAATCGCCGTCGCCGCGGATTCAGTGTTAAAGTATTAACACTTTAGCGTTAACACTTTAACACTTTAACATACACGAACTCGCGGCGAGTGAGGGTGAGGGTGGAGAAGTGAGAGTGAAGTGGGTGAAGAAATGGTCCACCCTCATCCTCACTTCTTCACCCTCAATTATGCACGTTTATCCTTTTACACTTTAACACTTTAACACTTTAACATATAAGAATCCGCGGCGACGGCGATTTCCGGATGATGCCATAAATAAAGATAGTAACACTTAATTCCCCATGGTTAACGAGTATCTGTGTAATAATGATGTCAGAAAAAAATTGTTTCAATCATCGGATGATCTTGTTTCTTTCTCCTCTGAAACTGCGATAGAATAGACAAACGATTTGTTATCTCTCTTTTTAGAAAAGATATGAAAAATAGATGGAGAGAGACACATCGAATAATTAGAACTAAACAGTGAGTCTCTGAGTTTGATTACGTTTATTTGTAAGAAAAATAGTCATTGTTGATTATCCTTTGTTGTAGGGAATCAGAGCGTTTTCCATTTCCTGACTGGAAGAAGAATGCATCGTACACAGTTTTATTCCGAACAAAAAAGAGCTAACTCAGTCTTTAGATGAGACTGGTGCAGTCCTGAAAGCGGTCATTATCAGAGACTAAGATTAAAAAATATTAGATTGTAATTCCTCTCCCATCTTAAGTACACGTTTCCCAGACATCATGTTCAATCACTCAAGAATATTTGATTGCATCAACGGTGGTAAAGACGCAAATCATTTTGATTGCATTGCACGTCGTTTAACCGGAAGTATATTGCTCACAGCATCCGTTATAACTCTCGTCTTCAATGTTCGCTTTATCTACTGGTCATTCCATCATGACCATTTCTGTTTGAGATACTATGCACTTATTATCAGTATGTTTGCCAGTTCAACAAGTATGATTATTATTACTCGTACTTAACCAGTTCTGATAATTCTAATTTTGGTGCGCGAAAGTGATTATTAGAAATATGAGAAACGGATAGGATTTTAGTACAGTTTGGTTACTTTTACCATGTAATATGATATTTAAAGATTAATTATTTCTAGACGTTTCGGTTCACTCATGTAACCTTTCTCAGTGATTGATGAAGACAATTGAAAGAACAGAAATCTCTGAAAATGACCCATTCGATATTTTTGTGTTCATAAATTGTGCGCTTGAACTATTAATATATAACTTTAACTTTCATCATTTTCAGCGCTCTGTATCACTTTGTCATTACTGATAGTTCATGAGCATGACTTATTCTTATAGCAATCTTTGTCAATGGATGATGAGAGCCTTTTTTTTAATTTTTTAATTGCTTCATTTTCAACAGTAATCAAATTTCTTGTCATTAAATCTTGAAAACTAATTTGTTCACTCGTTCACCCTACAGCTAAAGTTATAAAAAAGGAGAAACTTGACTATAAAAGAATTTCTTTTATCAAAATATTGTCTATAGCATCTTAAAAAGTTCTCGTTTTTGAAAAAGCTGTTAAAACTAAAATAAAGAAGAGTGATGTATGAAATGTTCAAAAGTTGTCTACATTTGTGTGCCGAATATAATGGGAACAGAAAGATGATCACATAGATACAATGATGAATTGTTAAATAAAGGAGGGAGTGCAATCAGAACGAGAATCGGCCCCATATCAGAAATGAGATTCTGGTAAAGTTTCTACGATCTTGGACGACCGGGTTACAGGCTTCCAAACACATTACGAATATAAATAAATTCATTCGCTTTAATGCCGTTTCGATCTGTATCGTATTGGCTATGGCACTTTCTGACACAACATCGTAGAAACTTGACCAGTATCTCATTTTGTGAAGAATTGACGCGGCTATTCAATGATAGGTTGAAAGACTTCTCAAAGAAATTCTAAGATCACTAGGTTTTCTAGAAAATAGGGTTTTTGAGAAATCTCTATATCAAGACCCCGAGGTGTAGCATAACTTTTCTTCATCCAAATATATAGAACTCGACACGCTCTTTCATTTGATACTAACTTCAGGGTTCTACGTTAGGGAATGTGGTGAGCATACGTTCTACAAGTTAATGCAAATCCACTGGGAAATGACGAAAATTGAACCTATCCGTCCAAAGACATCACTCTCCAGTAGTAATAGTCGAAAAAGTGAGTGTTCGCGCTTCCAGCTAAAAACAAATTACCAGCCATTTTGTGCAGTTTTGAAAGAGCTTTTTGCTGATACATATTGTAAATCGCAACCTAAGTTCTTTCATGGCAAAAACTCAGAAATATTATCCGTCAGTATGCTCAAACATCACTCTTGAGTAGTAATATCTGAAATCGTGGAGTGTGCTAAAGGTCATTTTTAACAGTAATATTCCAGAAGCATGAGTGTTCGCATAACGATTGAGCGATAGATAGTTTTGTTCATCGTTTAAAGCTGCATCGAATGCTGCATAAAACTTTACTTCAAACTTGTTTCATTCTGAGAGAAGTAAGAAAAACACATCGCAATGAGTTCGCGGAGCTATTAGTCAGACCTAATCGATTTTCTCACAGATATCAAGTCCGAAGGGAAACCATCCGTCTGGAACCCCATTAAATCACATGCTCTTTCATTCTAGACACCTTTAGAGAAGATCTGAAATGGGGCCGATTCTCGGTCTTGTTGCACACCGTCCTTTGTTCAAAAACACAAAAACAAGAATGTGCGAATAAAATCTAATAAAAACAAAATAATGAGATTTTATTCAATAATAGTGCACATTCTCTCGATGACCACTTTTTTTATTTCGTTCACGTGCGCAATTCATATAATTATCACCTTCATAGTAGGATTATGATGTTTTATTTGTACATGCTCCACCTCCTGTCCTTCCCACATGTGGACAATGTATATCTGGCTGATACTTAACATGAATTGTTCGACAAACAACACTGTTTTGATCACCTTGATCGAACGAATGCACCAAATGGTACTTGATTTGACATAAAATGAATATAATCTTCAAGCCTTGAATACTGTTGATTACTATCTTTGCATATTTCTCGAACAGCTTGACATAGTCCTTCAATTAATGGAGCATTTTTTTCTGGTGGATGATTAAATGTAAGTCCATTATTTCTTACTTGTGTATTATAACCACATACTTTATAATCACGACCAAATGCAATAAATGCTAAACTAAGATTATTTGGTGCTAAATTTAAAATTAATTCAACGCCACATATATATTTGTTTTGATCAAATGTAATTTGTCTTAATTCTATTGATTGAATGATATTTGATTATTGTAATAAACCTTCTCTATCACAAAATATGGCACATAAATATTCAAATGCCTGTATCGGTGTATTGAATGTATCCTGTGGTAAAAGTCGACTAATTAATCTTGATGAAAATAAGTTTGTTTGTGTGTTATTTAATCGAGTAAGAATCTTATAAGAATTACATAAGAAAGTAATAAGAATCGTTTATTAGATTTGCAAGAAGATTTGCAAGATTTTTTGCAAGAAGTATTCTCTGTTCGTTTCGTTCATTTCATAGAAAGAAACTTTTTCTTGGGAGATTTTTTTTAAGCTAAATAATTTTATTAACTCAGTCACATGTCGAAAATCCACTGTCATAAACTTAAAATTTTCGGTGCACTAAATTATATTCCATCGTGATACACACGATTTTCATTCTCAAAATACGATGCGCCACTTATAATCGAGGTTCAGTTGAAAAAGATGTTGTAGTAGAATATAAAGACGCGATGTTTATATATAAATGTGTCCACAGTATCTCAATAAGAGAACCCATGGATTATCATGAACAACTCACAAGTTCAAACCCTAAATGGACCGGTTTTTGGCATAACATAGAATTGTGTATAATTACGGTAAAGCTTTATGCGGTGTTTCTCAGACAACCACCGGACACGTTCATCGAATTCGCCCACAGGCAAGCCTCGCAGCTTACTTTTCAGTCTGCAACCAGTAGATTCGTCTCCTCCAAGCTAAGAGGAATCGCTTAGAAAAACTGTATGTAAATTTTCCTTCAAAACAAGAAAAGAATCCAAAACGTCGAATAATCACATCATGTACTGACAGCATAATCATATAGAAAAGTGAAGGAAAAATACTCTTAACGGTACACATTTATATTTCGTAAAATACAAACAAGAAAAAGCGTATCTCATCTTCACTATCCTGAGGGAAGAAAGTATCTCATAGGATCTCCTGGTATTGGTCAAAACTGACACATAATACTCGCGAAGACGCACTAGGATTTGACTTTATACAATCTCTCCAGTGGAAAACAAAACGCCACTTCTTCCTGTCGGTTTCGAGACACGACGGAAGCATTTTGCTTGAGCATACCACGACGCGTTTCGACCGATGCTCAACGGTCTCATCAGGTGGTCCTAATACTCTTCGGTTCAGATGTTTAGAACTCGAAGGTATTACTTTTCTGTTCTGATCAATATGATCTGAACTCGAATAGTAACTTACTGAGAATGGCATGATGCTATTTATATCCAAAAATATATACATGCCGAGGTACTATTTTTTGATATATCAGTGGTTAGACTGTGTATTTAAAGAAAAATAGCAGCCGTCGACTGACGCGATTTTTCTTTTATCAGTACGCTCGATTTCATGTATTATTTTTATTTTTTCACTTTTGCATCAAAATATTCCTCTTCTCAGGAAAATGATCGTCATGTCTCTTGTAGCAATGTCACACTTTCGGACATTACTAACACAAGTGAGAGTAAAATACAAACAAGAAAAAGCGTATCTCATCTTCACTATCCTGAGGGAAGAAAGTATCTCATAGGATCTCCTGGTATTGGTCAAAACTGACACATAATACTCGCGAAGACGCACTAGGATTTGAC